AAGTGATGGCCAATCCCCATATGTTGCTTTTTCATCACCGTCTCTATCAACAAGCCTCTCAATTTTAGAGTAACTGTGAATATGTAATTCCTCTAGTGAAGGAAAATGAGAAGCCAGAGAATAAGAGAACAGCTTTTTCACTTTGTTGCAATCCCATATCGCAATCTGCCTAAGTTTCGGGAAGCAAACATCAGAAGAAGAAGATGAAAGGTTCTTAAGCGATTCTTCACAAAATATCTCCTCCCATTCCTCGCATTCAATTATGTCAAGTTGCCTTAACTCTGGGAGGCTTGTAAAGATAGCAAGAGAGAAGATACTTTTTAATCTTGGACAACCGCACAAATAAACCCTTTCAAGTCTATGGAGGCTCATAATTTGTGTTGGGCCCTTCCCAATATATTCCAACTCTGCTAGATATTGTAATCGTAAATACTTCAACTCTGAAATGAGCTTCAAATTAGGATGTTGTGCTGTTCCTGTTCCACTCACTTGCACCTCCATGATTCCTTTCTTTCTTCCACTTCTTTCAATATCTAAAACTTTCAAGCTTAGGAAAAGGGTCAAAGCATTCTGATTCTGCAACTGCTCGAAGCTTGTTGCGGTAACCCCCACATATGTTGTCTCACTCCTATTCCCTTATCAATGTATTCAAATTCAACTCATTATGAAACGAACGCGTAGAGATTACAAAAATTAAAGATTGATATGATATTCATTATGCTGTCTCACTCTCATTCCCCCGTCAAGGTATTATAGCTCACTGTATTTTTGTATTATGCAGATAGATTTTTGTATCAACTCCCTTATTTTAATTAACTACTTCCCACACTAACAAAATCAATAAAACAAAAATTAATTTCTTCATCCCAAAAATATAACATTAAATATATCAAGCTTTGTTTATAAATAAAATTAATTAGAGTTAAATACAGTGACCTTCCATTTTGCTCATAAAATTACAGACATCTCCCCTCTATTTTCAAAACCTACACTTTAATCTAGTCAGGAATAGTCTATTAAAGATTCTTAAATACTTATTTTTTTTGTTTATCTTAAAAATTTTAAAATTGTTAATTTGCCCTTATATTTTAATTGTCTACTCTCTCTCACAATTTTTTTTAAAAAATTTAAATAATAAGTATGTCAATATTTAAATAAATAATTTAAAAATTTTGTATTAACATAAATGAAATTTTAAGAAAACAAACATAAATTATATTGAGTAATTTATTATATTAAATTCCTATTTCATAAATTTTTTAACTACATGTTTGAATATTATTTTAGCTAATTTATATATTTCATTTCTTAAAAAATTACTACATAAACAAGTTTACATAATTGAAAAAATTTAAAATATAAATAAAAAAGTAAAAAATTTATGCATTAATTTGTTTAAGTAATTCGAATGGTTTTTAGATAATATTCATATTTAAAGAGGTGTATTTTGATATAACATATGTGACTTAATGATCAACTAATAGTTGGGTGAATGAAAATAAAATGATAACATCAACTAACTATTCATAATATTAGAGGTTGTTATAGGTTTAAAAAATAAAAGGGAGATACCTGCAATTAAAGAAAAATAAAAGGAAGATCAGAATATTTTACCTAATTAATTATTTGATAAAAAATAAAATTTCCCTTATAAAAATAAGAATTGAGGAAAGAAATAACAAATCCAGTTTGAAAATAATATTTTTTATATTACAAAAAAAAATTAAAATTTAAGTAGTTTAATCTTTAGGACTTAGTATAAATACTAAATACAAAGATCTAAAAATCATTGAATTAAAAATAAAATGACTATGGCCTATTGTAGAGGATATTTTTCTTAATACTTATATATATATATATATATATATATTATTTGAAAGCAAACATGAATTTTTTAAACAAAATTAAAATGAACAAGCCAATTTCTTTAATAAAAAAAGATGACATGTCAACGAAAGTAAAAAAATTCATCAAAACATTTGAAAATTTTAGTTAACCCATCTATCAGCACTAGTTCAGAATATACTAACCTCTGTAAATTTAGTGTAGAAAAAGGAGTTGATTTTCCTTGGCTGAGGGAAGCCTCCTCCACCTCTTCATTGAGGGAGGGGCAGATCTGGATCATCCGGATTTAATATAAATGGTTCAGATTTAATATTTTTAATTTGTATTTTAGATTTATGTTTATTAAAATAACAAATGTATAAAAATTATAAAAAAATTTAATCAATATGTTTATCAATTTGAAAGTCCAGATTTAATATGGATGGTTTAAAATTAATATTAAATTTTTTTAATAAATTTACTACTCTATTCAGAGTATATCTACATTGTCCAAAATATATCTAAAAATTTAATTTAAATTTTTAATATTAAATTTGGACAATGCATATTAAATTTGGACTGTCATATTTATAAGCATATTTATTAAAAAAAAATTAACATGTTTAATTTTTATATATTTTTTATTTTAATAAGTATATATTTAAAATAAAAATTAAAAATATTAAATCTGGATCATTCAGATTAAAACTAGATGGCTCAGATTTGTCCCTCCCTCAATAGAGGGATGGAGGAGGCTTCTTTCAGCATAGGGAAGTCGACTCTACAGAAAAAGGAGGCACAATAAAAAAAAAGGTGTTTTTATTTCAAATTCAAATAAAAGCATAGAAAAATACATTAAAAAAAACATTTCACTTCAAGTATGGGTAATTTATAGATAATACATCAACAGGAATTTTTAAAAAATAAAAAAAATCTTTAATAACTACTCCATTCCTTCTAAATATAAAACACGTTTTGCACAATCTTACATTTTACTCTAAGGTACTTTATGATTTTTAAAGGAAAATTGATATCTTTTTTCCTAAAATACCCTTTAAGATATATTAAAATACTTTAGATCCCTTCATTATCATTACCATTTCTCATGTACTTAAAGAAGGGCAAAATTTCCATATAAAAAAAAAGAAGAGAAAAATTAAAAACAAATTAAAATCTTAAAAATTTGATAGGTTCGTTCTTTTGATAGCTGTGCATTGGGTAAAAATAACTTATGTTTGAAATAAAGTGAGTACTAGGGCGGTGGGGTGAGCATAAGTTTATATGGTGGTTTCACTGTCAAATTTGACAAAATCGACTTGATACGAACCAAACCAAACTATATTTATAAATGGAATCGTGACTGATCTGAAATAAGATGGTTCGATTTGGTTTCCTAAATCAATTGTTCCAGAACACAGATAGAGTGATAGGAGATTAGCAAAAGAAAGTGCAAATGGAATTGAAAAATGTAAGCAAAATAAGAAAATGGAAGATGAGAGGAGAGGAAAAGAAGCAGCAATGAGCATCAGACAACAAAATCATTGCTATTACAGCAAGTGAGAATCAACATGGAGACAGAAAGCTTGAGCACAAGAGAAAGGGAAGAACAGACACAGCATAGGAGAGGGAGAGAGTAGTGATAGCTAGGGAAAATTGAGAAAGTATGAGGGAGTGGGTGACTAACTGATGGCTGAAGGAGAGAATGGCAACATAAGGAAGAGAGGTTTGATTGCTTAAGCGTGCAAGTTGGAGGTTGAGGTGTGAGGTAGAAGATATGAGAGTCCTTCTCATATTTGAGGCTTAAGGTTAAGGATGATTTGGGCTTATCACTTCTTTTAGTAGTTAAGTAGTATCAAACATTTTAGGCTTATGGACTTAAGGTCCTCAATTCATCTAAATATAAATTTAAAACTAAAAATAACCTTTATAAAATAGGAAAAATAAATATTATTTTTCAAAAAAAATATTTTTTATTTTGATTTATTTAGTTTGTATGGTTTCTTCCTCTTTGGACCAAACTAAACTGTTTAAACCAAACTTTTTTTAAAAGAAAGAGCTGATTTAAACCCAACAAAATAGAACCAAAATAGATCAAACTTAATTTGGTTTGGTTTGGTTTTGCTCACCCCTTGTATTTGGTTACGATAAAAATTTAAAGTCAAAAGATACATCAAAAAGTCATCTCCTTGACCAAAAATATTAAATAAAATATATCAAATGTTTGCATTAAATTACTTAATTAAATGAAAAAAATAGTATGAAACTTAGAAAGCCCAAAAGAAGCTCAAGAAGCAATAATATTTTGCGTGAAAGTTATTACTTAATATACTGGTCTATATAAGTACTTTTCCCAATGTATTGGGTTAGACACTGTAACACATTTCTTTGGCAAAAACAAAAAAAAAAGTTCAAATAACTAGTTAGAGAGACAAGCAAGAAGAATTGATTATTTGATTTCAGCTCAAAATTTGAGAAAAGGACATAAATGTCATGTATCAAAGGAAAAGCAACAAATTCAATTTACAAATAATATTTTCCTTCCTTGTAAATTAATAATTTTTTTAGTCAATGAATCAAACAAGGATTATTATTTCTAATAAATAATATTATTTTGGTGTTTCATATTTAAGAGGGATTTTGCAGATAATATTTACGTATGAAAAACCTCGCATATCATAAAGGGACTCTCCTTGGCGTTGTGGTTGATCCTCATGTGATAAGTCTTCATCACCCTCTCCACCAATGAGCCTCTCAAGTTTGGAGTAATTACATATTTTCAATTCCTCCAGTGAAGGTCAATGGCAAGCAAGAGAATAAGGGAATAGCCATTTCACTTTGCCGCAATCATATATCTTCAATTTCCTCAACTTTGGTAGGCTTGTAATAGTGGCATGGGTGAACACTTGTTCAAGACTACTCATTCCATTCAATGTTAAAGTAATCAGGTAGGAGAATACTTGTTTTGTTTGAAGATGGTTGGCATCAAAGTTATCAACGATGAACATTTTCTCTGAACAGTGTAAAATCACTAAGTACTTTATCTCTAAATTTAGATCTTTATGATCCCACATACAATTCTCCAACCAAAGGCAGTTTGCTCTAAAAATGAGATCTTTCATTGATGAACATAGAGCAGAGATTGTGAAGCCTTGAATGAATAAAGCTCTTAATGCTTCTGTACAGCCATCAAAATATTCTAGAAAAGGGCCTTCATATGTATCTAAACTGCATATGGAGTCATAGATAACATACCTCTTCAATCTTGAAGGAGGAAAACTTGCTGGGATGGCAGATTTATTATCCCAAAAGTATAATTCTTGGAGCTGCTCACATCTTCTAATTAATTCTAGAAAGCATTTCTTGATTGCGCAACCAAACATGTCCAAAATTTTCAACTTTTTCATTTCTACAATTCCAACAGGTAATTTATCAAATTTAGAATTACACAAATCAAAAATCTCTAATTCTTTAAGTTCACCCAAGAAAGAGATGTCACCCAATACTTTTCCTTTAAGGGATGACGTATGAAGATTTCTTAATGTCACAATTGATTGCAGAATTGAACATTTAATTTTTTTTTTCCTTATAAGACCAAGATATCCATTCAAAGCTAAATATTATGAGGGCCAAGACTTTTAGTGCTTCTGTCCCTCCAAAATGGTCAATGAACCCTTGAGGATGAAGTAGCATAATCTCAAGTGTTGGAGAATGCAATTGATTAGAGAGCTTGAAATTCTCATCCAAATTCCACAATGGCAGTGCCTTTGTATCTTTCAAAATTTGATGTTTATTCAACATGATTGAAACAACATTTCTTTCGACCAGAATTGCTTGAGACATTTTCTTCATAATCCTCAAAGCTACATCTCACACCACATCATGCAATTTTACACGAGTCTGTTCATTGGTAGGCATTAATAAACAAGAATCTAACAACCTCTCAATAGTGACTAAAATCTCATTCCTTGCATCATCCACTGTATAATCACTGTCACTTAGCTCAAGAATAGTCCCCATGCCAAAACGAATTAAATCCTCTATATGGATTTCATGATCCTCAGGAAACATAGAGCACAATAAGAAAAGGGACCTGGCTAGTTGACTTGGCAAATTGTCATAACTTATTTCCAGCACTGCGTAAAGGCTGCTCAAATCTTATTCAATATCCAGCGAAGTGGGATGTTGTAGCCTTTGTAGAGTTGACTTCCACACTTGAATATTCTTTCCTTTTAATATGCTTCCTACAGTCACAATTGCTATGGGTAGACCCTTACACTCTTCAACAATCTTCCTTCCAATGCCATCAAACTCATCATTTGAGACATTGATTATGTTAGCACGCATCTTGAACAAAGCCTATTCCTCTTCCTCTGTTAAGAGAGGCAGTTTAGTTATACTCTCACAATCCATGGAGACACATACATCATGAAGGCGAGTGGTTAACAAGACACAACAACCTTCATTCACTGGAATGCCAATTTCTTCAAGGCTTAGCGTTTTGCTCCACACATCATCTAAGATTATAAGAATTTTCATCCTTCTCAATCCCATTAATAGCCTCTATGCAATGGCAGATTTGGTTTCCTCGTTGAATTTCAAACCTGCCAGTTCTTTTATTTCCTCTTGGATTTTTCGAACATTTAGAGATTGAGAGACAACCACCTTGATCACCTTGTCAAAAATCTTCAGTTGTTTAACTGTCTCACCTACCTTGATTGCTAAGGTGGTTTTACCTGAGCCTCCAATTCCATACTGTCCAATCTTGTTCTTACCATATTTAATGGCCTCTAAAAGACGATTGTATGCTAATTTCCTTGAGTTGAATTCCATGAAGCCCTCGAAAGAAAGCATGCCTGGAAGTAAGGTTAGCTGGGAAAATGGCTCAAAGTTGGAGTCTATTTTGAGGTTCTTGATCTGGTTAGCCTTGTCATCCATTTTTTTGGCTAAAGAATATTCCTACGTGGCACGTTCAAACACTTCTTTGCTCCTCCTTCTTCAACCTCATGCTGCAGATTTTGCACAGCCTCTAGAATAGCATGAACATCATCCAACCACTTCTTCACGTATGGCATTATCTCTTTAGTTTTTCGATCAGCTTCTTCCTTACGGTTTTCCATGTCTGCTAGTTTGACCTCCAGGTCTTCTCTTGCGTTCTTAAAATCTCCAATGAATTGGTTGAAGAAGAACAAGTAACGAGCACCACGTGAAATTGGATCCCATATATAGACGCTCTGCAAGCTTGGTCGCAATATTACTCCCAATCTCTTCCATCTAATGCAATAAAATGCAAGCACATATAGTAATTAGTGAGTTAAATATTGCTGTTAGAAGCACGCGTATGACACACACGCGCCATTTTTTAAATTCTTTTTTTGGTAACTAACTAATATATATTACTTGATAGTAAACACTAATTTTTCAAATAAAATAAAAAGTAAACATGTTGCATGACATTTTTCCATTAAAAAGAAGGAAAATAGTTTATGTTTGTATAGACGAATTATATTCCTCACACACACAAACTAAAGTCTAGAAGCATGCTTATATGCATATGACGTACATAATTAGGAGATCTGACTGAAGAAACCAGTTAATTATATGAGAGGGCGGTGAGAGACAAAAATCACCGTGTAAGCTTTGTTATATATATTAAATACCGGCCCATCTAATTAAACAAAGCATGCATATATGCATATAATATGTACAGCTACCTGTAATGTAAATTGATGATAAATTTGGCGATATTTTTTGAGTCGTACAGAAGAAAGAAGTAAACAAATTGATGCAGTCCTGCAAGAAGAAATTAAGCAATTAACTGCAGAATAAGGTCTATTCTTTTTTTTAAAAAAAAATAACAACTGAGTTGTAGAATTAGTTATTCCTAATTTCTACAATTCCTAATTTCTACAATTAAGTGCTATATGATACATCCACCAACGCAGAGAGATGATAACTGAAACTAGATTATGAGAATGAAAGAAAATCAGGAATTCTAAAGAAACAAATAAACAATAATTATTCACAAAAGCTTGCATTAAGGAGTTTCAATTTCAACAAATTCGTTGCTGTAAATTTATTACGCAATGGTAAAAGCTTAGATATTCAACCTTTATATACTTAAGCTACTTGCTTCCTATAAATTAGTATGAGTGGATTTATTTTTTAAATAAAAGTATTAATAATTAACAAAAGTTAATTAGTTAGAAGACTGTTAAGAGATTAAAGGAAAAGGAACATTAATCACAAAATGATAAAACCTTGATCAATAAATTCAACAAATGGCAATGAAAATGACAAACCCTTGTAGGGTGATTAATACAATGTGATACCTCTCATATAGATTTTAAGGTCACCAACTAATTAGGCGATTAACACTAATTGCACCTTGTCTAATTCATCCTTCCAACGAAGATGAATCATCTACTAAAAAAAAAAAAATACACATATCTCAATTTGATAGAAAATAAGTATCACAGTATACAAAGCCAACCAACAAAAGTTTTACCTTGTGGAAGTCATGTGAAAGGGAAAAAAAATCATTTTTTTTTATCAATCTTACACTAAAGTTCATAAAACTTAATAAAATTTAGTCTATTATTACATCATTCACATAATAGAACAAAGATCACATTTCCGCTTTGTTTCTAAATATGATCTCTTGTTAAAAGAAATATGATTTATTGTAATGTAAAATGAAGAACTTATATTCTGTTATTTACCTGTAATGCGACCTGATGACTATTTTGCCCTTTTTTTTAAGGCAGAACAATAATTAATGGAAGCAAAGCAGAAGGATGATTATTAGAACTGCTTCTGAAAAAACAAAAAAAGAAACATTAGTGCAAGCATTAGTGTAAACTACGAGGCTTTAAATAAATAAACAATTAACGCGAAAAAGTACAATAACATTATTCTTTACTTGAATTTGTATGTAATATAACTAGGACCTTCAAAGGTCACTAGATTATACTTATTAAAAAATCTCACCGGATTATACAAAAAATGTTCACTTTTCTATGTATTTCAATTTAAAATCTGCCCACACATTCTTAGGCCGCTTTTGTAAGTAAAATTAACATAAGTTAAATATAATTTATAATACCTTAATATTTTCAAAACTTCTAAATATTCATCAACGCCTCATTTTGAATTTATTTTTCATCATATTTTCAAATCAAGCAATTTTTTTTTTGTAATGATTGATATGGACGTAACAGAGAAATTTCATGTACTATGAAATGCGAGTGAAAATGCAACCTCATATTATAAATATAAAATCGATCATGTCCGCTGTTATTTTTTTTCATATAATAATATATCTAAATAACGACAAGAAAATTAACATGCATGTAATTTACTCATATTCCCATGCTACATGTAAGATAAATAAATGATATTTGGATAATTACCTGTAATTAGATTTGATGATAGTTTTGATATCTTTTAATTTTAGCCAGAAACCAATGCAGAAAGATGATAGCTGAAACTAACTAATTATGAGAGTACAAGAAAAGCAGCAATTCTCAAGTTCATCAACGTACAATAAGAAATTATAGACAACAACGTAAATTAATCAACACTCTTTAAAAATGATATAACAAAATGGAGAATTTCTTAAACAAAATTGAAATTATTTCCATTGATTTCCAAAATTGAGTAGCAGAAACTATAAGCCTGTTTCGTTTCTGTTTTTGAAAATATTTTTTTGTATTTTAAAAACAAAATTAAAAACTTGTTTAGGCAAATGTTTTGAATTTAATTATTTTCAAAACTGTTCTCATGTTTTAAAAAAACAAAAAACCTAAATATCTTAAAATTGCTTTCATTTTGTTTTATTTTAGTTTTCAAAATACATTATATTTAATTATTGAAAGCTGCAATCACCTTGACCAATCACTATTGTAAGCCGCCGCCACTAACCACCGGCTGTTATCACTATTGGTTGATTTTTTAATTGTAAAACTATTTTTAAATTAACATAAACCTGTTTGGTTGTGTTTTGTTTTGAAAACCAATTTTAAAAACTATATTGCAAAACAATTTAAAAAAAATAAAATAAGCAACCAAACAAGCTTATATAACTTAGCCCAAAAGCATTGTAATTAAGTATTATTCACATAATTATAAGAGACATTTAAGTGGAAAAATTCCTTGTATATTTATTTTTGGATATGATTTTTTTAATAATCAGAAGGCTTAGCAAACAACTAAAATGAAATAAGTAAAAGAATATAAAATATTTATTCAATTAATCAACTAAAATGCTGCAATCAGATTAGACAGCAAAATAATTCGCCGAGATGACCATGGAATCAAATTGCCTGATGACCACCTTCAAGAAAGAAAGAAACAGAGAATCACTTAATTAAGAATATGGATCTTAAATTCTAAAGAATTCAATTTCTACAAATTCATTATTTTGGGATTCAAAAGAATGAAATAAAACAAAACTCAGTACTTTTTTTATAGCGCTCTTTCACCAAACTTCAAATAAAAATCTAGAATAAATAACTTTAGATGTTAATTACACAATTCAGATTATTCATTTTTCATTATCATCACCATAGCCAAAAAGTGCACAAACATATTTTTCACAACCATTCCAATAAAAAGAAGAAGATCAAATGTTCTCTTTTTAAAGGAAATGTAATTTATCTACATGTAAAATATATAAACAAACAAATTATATTATGCTCTTCACCTTTAATATGAATTGATGATTAGAAGAAGGATGATGACTTGATCTTCTTCTGAAATTACACTAAAAGAAACAAATGTGTAAACTAATTAGAGGCTCTTTAAATAAATAAACAAAATTTATGTACACTAAAAGAAATTATTCTTTAAAAATCAATAAAACAAAAGAATCTCCATGATAACTAATATTTACCAGCAAGATGTATAGATGTCTTCGATTAGATTTCAAGAGTCTGAGCAACAAAGGAAGGCTGAAGAAAATGATTGATACATATAGTGACTGAAATGGTTTTTCGGAATTTAAAGAAGGCAATAGATCACTGATTCATGACAAGTGCCCAAGAACAAAAGATAGACGAATGAATTTAATAAATAAAGGCATGACAGGAATTTGTTCTTTACTTGCAATCTTGAATGATTCAGACACCAATTCCGAAGTTCAAGTAAGACATATATTCATTTACAAATGTTGATTTGAAAGTTATTCCGTGCATTTTGACTGCTTTAGCTTTGTTGCATTGCATATGTTGCTTTAATTTCTTTCTTTTTGGGTTTATTCTATGAGTTTTTTTCCTTTGAAGTGCAAGAAAATGAAAGTATCCCTTCTTTTTTTCTTTTAGTTGGGGCCCAAGGAGCTCATGTTAATTGTTTAGTTTTCAAGTAACAAATCAATAACAAGAAAGATGCACGCGATATGATATAAGTCATTCTTCAAATATATATGTCATTATATGTGTGTGTGTCATAATGTGCGCGCGCGCGCGTGGCAAAAGAATTATTTATGTAAGATTCCGGAAATGGTGATTCACTTGTATCAACTTATGCAAGACTCTTTTCTCGAGTAGAGTGCTTGTCTCAGATAATGTTTATGTCGCTTGTTGATTTTTTTTTTGAATTAGAATTAATCAGTTGAACATATTTTATTTATATTATATTGAAACCAATAAATACTAAGTAATTGTTAATGCATTATTTTACTTCATCACATTTTTTTATAGAAAATCTTCCACCTTGTCATATGTAATTGTTAATAGCGTTTGGTTTAATGAAAGAAGGAAATGCTGAATTGAAAAATACAATTTATTTATAATTTTTGCATATATAAATAATTGCCTAGTTTGTTTTATTATATGAACACACAAGTCAAGTAAAATGAAGTGACTCAACGAAGGGTCGTGTGGATTTTCAGAACACTCAACAAAACCAAAGGGATTTTTAGAAGGAAGGGAGAATTTCATATAGAAGAGGCGGAATAGGCATGACTGAGACTGACCGATTCCATGCAAAGCAACAAAACGGCGTCGTTTCCACACTTGATTTCGGCCGGCCCTTATTCTTTTGGCCAAAAAATCTCGGCCATTCTTAAAATCAACGACCTAGAACTGCCAGTGGTTACCACACTTTGCTTTGATCTGTCTCATATATCTAAAGCACCTTGTTGAGTTGTCACTTTGTGCTTATGACATTTCATCACTCGTGAATAGCAATTACTTAAAAAGGTTCTCAAGTTGCTAGACCCATTTGATGCATTATATTTAATTCGATTAGTAATTTGAAAATAATTTAATTTGATGGGGATGATGAGGATGCATGAAACGAAACGAAGTTTCATGCTGTTATATGTTATTCTACTCTCATCGAAGTGCATTATATACAGAATTAAATTTAATTTTTAAATTTGTTGTAAATTTAGTCACATATTATTAACTTTCACGTTGTTTGTGCAGGTGGATGTCCTATAGTTTCATGATCAATTTAATTGTGAAATTAAGGACTTGAGCTCTTCACTATCATGGTTGGTGTCAGTTTATTCAATTGGTACAAGTAAGTCATAAGCTAATTAATGCACTTCTAGGCAATATATATTTTAGTATTTATTTGCTCATGCTTTATTTTCTTTTGTATTATTTAGAGCTTTGAACTTAATGGACGGACTTGGAGTAATCCTTACAATTAGTAACGAGTAGAAAATTGGTATACAATAATGAAGAACATTAGAACCCAAAATTGTTTTAAAATTCAAGATACTGAAAGTGAAGCAGCTGGTGAAGAGGATGTGGGTGGGACCTATCATCTATCTTCCATTTCTTTTCATGTATCTATCTTACGATCCTGAAATTTTGTCTTGGTTGTGCACAAATGGTTCCTGCATGTAGAAAATAAATCCAACTTTTTAAACGTCCCTGAATATTTGCCTCTTCATCAACTATACATTGTTATTAGATTTTGATTTTTTAATCATGTTTAATTTGGTGTAATTACACGTTCTATGAGGAAGTTCTAACTTCTAATCTAATATAAAAGTTTACTGTTTTCTTGATTGTTAATTTATTCTTTCAAATAATAATTTTATATTAATTGATAATTGATAATATCCTATACATAAATATTTTTTCTTTTGCTTCAGTATCCTAGGTCTTTGACCTAAACTAATCAAATCGGTAGCTTGTGGGCACTTTTTTGAGAAGTATACCAAAAGCTCAAACTTGAGAGTTTTGGTTAAGCTGAACCAATTCCTAGTTAATTGATCCAAACACCCCCTGTGGTATATCCTATGAATAATTGCAAGAAATATAATATAATGGCACATGCTTGTGTTGTGATTGTTACCACTATTATTTGTAAGGAAGCTATTTTCTTTTTTATGCAGCTATTTGCTCTTTTTCCTCATGGTTTTCTGATAAAAATGAATATGGAACCATCATTGTAATTTTTTTTATAATTAAAAACTTTTTCCACAACGAAATAAAGGACAATGAGAAATCACTTATTAATGTAATATCTGAAAAATTGAAATCCATTTCAAGTGTTGCAAATTAAGAGTTCCATGCAAGCCACACAATTATTATATAATTATACAACTCCAACACATATCAAGAAAAAACAGAACTTCAAGTAAAACATATCCCTTTTTTTTCATTTTGTATAATCTTCGACACACTGAGACAAATTCAACAAATGTTCACACTCCATTTAGTAAAACACAACTGCAGATGAAGAAAGCATTAGATGATCCAAAGCTCATCCATCGGCACCCTTTTATTTTCCAATTTTCTGATTCGATCTCCGAGTCTGAAGAAAAAACAATGAATTAATAGCTTAACCATGACACCAGAATGGTACCGGGCAAAATAGAAACTAACCACCTTACTTATTTTACATGTTTTTTAAAATAGTCATCAGATAATGTGGATTAAACTTGAGCTAATTATTTATGATGATGATAATAATGTGTTAAAATTTTGTAAATAGGGAAACTTAGTTATTTTCGGTTATTCTTAAATGACTAATTAATATTACTGCAATACCAAAACCTTTTGGGATGATTCGAATTTCTGTCAAAATAATGAGTGGCGCGCGCGCGCGCATCTAAATAGAAATTTCTCACGTGAAAAAAAAAAAAAACGGACATGTTATTAGGAGGGAGGGTGGGAAAACAAGCCACTTTAAATAGCTAAGGGCCTGTTTGGCAATTTATTTTGAGAATAGTTTTTTATTCTCCAAAAAAAAAAATTTTGGTAATGTGTTTCAAAAAGTGTTTTAGAAAAAAAAATATTGTTCTGGGAAATAAAAAAATAAAAATATCTTTTAAGTGTTCTGAAATTATTGTTTGGAAAGCAAGAGAAAATGAAAAAGAACACATGTTTTCTGTTATTTTTTTATTCTCAAAACATGTTCTACAAAATACCAATTCTTAGAATAATAAAACAAAAAATAATTTCAAACAGGTCCTGATTTGCTCAATACTATTGGTGACAAAAACGACAATGTATAAATTATGTGTATGGCAAGACTACAAGGTAAAAGATGAAGTGTGGTATTTGACGTGGTGACAGAAATTTCGATGCACAAAATTATGTTATTGGTTAAAAATAATAAAAAATAGTTCAAAGGAAGAGTGTGCAAATAATATATTTATCGTATATATAGAAATAGTGTAGATAATTAAGTACCTAATGAGGAAGATGCTGCATATGTTTGGACAATCTTGTATTCTCATGTTCTAGATAATTGAATGAATTCATAACCTGCATAAATCTCTTTCACTTTGGCAACCCTTTGAGATCTAATTTATTGAGTTTAGGGAACAGCTTTTGATGATGATGACTAGCAACTTGTTCCCTTCGTGACCTTGAACAACCTCCTTAAGTTGAGAGCAATAACATATATATATTTCCTTCAATGAAGGACAATGAAATGCTAGAGAATAAGAAAACAACCTTTTCACGTTACGGCAACTAGCAATTTCAATTGTCTCAACTGTGGGGAAGCAAACAGTGGAATCAGCATAAATTTTTTGAAGTGATTCTTCATAAAATATTCCCTCCCATTCCTTGCAATCTCTAACAATAAGTTCCCTCAACTTTGAAAAACTTGTAATTGTAGCAAGAGTGAAATTACTTCTTAATCTTGGACATTTATGCAATGCATGCAACACATTCAAGCCTAAGAAGGCTTATAATTTATGTGGGGCCCATCCAAATACATTCCAACTCTAGTAGATTATTTATCCATACAGAACACAATTCTGAATTCACCACCCTTACTCTTTCATTCTCATTTTCCTATAATGTATAGTATTCAATGATTACATGACAATCCATGCATGCTCAATATATGAATCACATTAAATTGAATGGTACTGTAACATTACAAACTAAGCCCCATTAATTTTACATGTTTTAAAATTGGAGCAACATAATCTCACCAAGATGGATACACACGCTATTTAGCTAGACCTTTGTATGTTATCAAGTGCACAACATGAATATATATATATATATATATATAATTCATTGAAATATATTTTAAGGGAGTATGATACTTTAAGCCCGACCCGAATAGGCTTAACCCCTGAAATTTCTAGCTCTATGTGTATGTAGAGTAGGCAATTTTGGCCAAGTCCGACGGGCCAGCCTGAACTCGGGTGAAAAAAGGCAAGGCTAGACTTGGCTATATAAGCTTTTTTAAGATGGTAGGATACTTTAAGCTCGACTCGAATAAGCCTAACTTGCCCGAATTACCTGCTCTACATATAACTTTTACATTATTTTCAATCTTTAGTATTATAATCTTGTACTTAGTAGTAGTACCCATCAAAATTCAGTTATTTCAATCTCTTTACATCTTCATATCCGGGTAAACTATGGTAAGGGAGCTCGGAAACCTATTGTTACTTTTTGAGACTTAGCATCTCTAGCACACTCAGTACTTGTTATTTTTATGAAGAATAGTATGTTATAATCCTGAAATTTTGGTTTCATTGTGCACAAATTGCTTTTCTTGGAGACAATAATAAATTCAACAACTTTTAAATG